TACCCTTTTCTTCCGTCGTACCCTTTAGGTAAAAAAACATTTGATCTTCTCTTCTCGTATGAATCGTTGCAGGGGAGAGGTTTTCTTCACAGTCTTTTGATCCGATTCTTATTGACTTTGAGCTTAATCCTTTGATGTTGCATTCAATTTTTCTCTAAGGGGTTTGTAAAAATTTCTGATTCAAAAAACTGGGAATTTGAAAAACATTTCTTGCAGGGTTGAAGATCTGTGTTTGGAGGGGTTCGAGAGGTGTTATCTGCTTGATTTTGTTGTTCCGAAAGACTTTGCTTCGACGATTTTCCGTGAAAAAGCTTGCGAGTATGTTCAGTGATGTTAAGTTTTGCAAACATTTTGTTTCAAAGTTTTAAGCTTTTTTTTGGTGTTTAATTTCGTTCTTTGGGGATTTAGGATCATATGTTTCGATCACCGAAAGTCAGCAGTTTCAAAGATTAGCTTAATGAAGAAGGATAAGAAGAGGTTTAAGATTAATGTTGATATTGAAGAGAGTAGCTCAAAGGCTGTGTATAGATATTTCTCCAGTAAACTCATAGATCAGCGATCTTCCGAGGTTAGTAAAGCCCAATAGAATGAACAATGTCTCTGCTTTGATTGGTATTTAATCATGTTTATATCTGTGGGCTAGGAGGATCCTCTCAGCTTGCTAAGCGTTATAGACCAAAACCGGGTTGAATCAGTTCTTGATTACATTGAAGATATCGATCTTCAAAGATGGAGATTACCAGATATTAAGGCTTTCAGCTTCGGACTGAAGGATTGGCATTCGAGGATCAATTGCATCACTAATCCTTACATGTACGAACAGGTCCGATGCTTCATTTCGATTTCTGAGGATACTTTGCCCATTCGCATTGTTGTTTTCCTTTGTGTCATTAAATCTTCTTGAAACTGAGCATGTCCTTATATCATTCCTCACTGAATTATTTCATGTCTCTATGTTGTAGTTGTTAAGAATAAGTTCAGCGGATCTCATTGCTTATGGGAATTCGCATTTTCAATCCCGGCTTGTTGATGCAAAGAAACTGCTGAAGCTTAATAAAGCTTTCAAGATCAGATTAGGAAGAGGGTTTTATGGAGAGTGCTTGGTAATTGTTTTCTTTTTTTTGTTGCAATACAATCCTCTTGTTTCAAAAAATCACTGAATTTAGCCGAACTAGTTTTTGTTTTACTCATAGGGAATGCGCGCAGATGGTAACCATCAACTAAGCGATGAACTCGGCAAGCTACTTAGTCTACAAAGTGCTGCATCCGGTTTGAGGTAAATTTTAGTTTCCCTTCTGATGCTTCTGCTGTTATGAATAATTGTGGATAGTAAATTAGTAACATCTGTTTGAAATCAGGCCAATAGGAGCTGTTACATTCATGCAACGGAATAATCTCAAAATGTGCTTGAGAAGTACCGACGATATAACCGATACATCTGAAGTTGCTAAGGTTTGCTTGTTTCGAAATCTGACTGTGATATTCTTTTGGTTTTATTGATCTGTTTTACTTATATTCAATGTTTTTATATTTTGGAAAAGGCTTATGGAGGAGGTGGAACTTCTTGCTCGAGCTCGTTTATCATAAGAATGGATGAATATAATCAATGGATTTCAGAGAATCCACCATGAAGACACTTCTCTGCGACCAATCTCAAAGCTCATTGTCTCTGAAATTAGAAGCCAGAGTCAACTTCCAATGACAAGTTCGGTAATCACAAACTGAAGAAGGAATGGGGTAGCCTAAACCGGGTAGCATTTCGGTTTAGTTACTCGTATATGATTTCGGTTTAGTTTGGTTTAGTCAACTCCTACGGTTAAAGGCAGTGATGTCGAACGGTCTATAAAAAATCAAGTGAAGAAGTGCAAATGTATACTTTTCAGTCCAACTACTTTATATATATAACTTTTCCTTATCGGTCCTCGTATTTCCTGAAATTGATTTTTTAGTACTCGATATTTCAGAATTGAAGCCAAACAACACTTTTTAAACTTAACGATTTTCTGACTTCCACGTGGCAATAGCTCGTCCGTTTGATTAGTCTCGCATCTACGCTCTTTGAGCTAACGAAACGACATCGTTTCTGAAGCTACGTGTATTTTTAGCTGAGGATTATCGTCGTCAATTACCACCACCGCCTAGAACCTTCCCACCTTCTCTAGAGATCTTTTGTTCCTTCAAAAACCCTAAACCCTAACTCTGCACAAAGACGCAATTTCCTCGCATCATTTTGCATCTTCCTTACTGATCTATATCGCCTCTTGAATTTTGCGAAACCATGGCTACCGCCGCACTACTCCGCTCGATTCGTCGCCGTGAAATCGCTTCCGCTCCTTTCTCAGCTTACAAATGCGTAAGTCTTATTCTATCCTCACTCGATCTGTAAACGGAAATGAAATTTGTGGTGAAACACGTACTTATGTGATCCAGATTGACTCATTTGTTATGGTTTACCTTCATCGGATTGTCTGGGTTCAATTTTGTTGTAGTTTTCGAGCACTGGGAAAACATCATTGAACGGTTCTTATATCGGTCAGAATTGGAGAAAATTTTCCAGAGCATTTAGGTATTGTTGATCTTTCTATATGTTTTTGGTACCAACATGATCTTGCTATGTTTCTGTGTTCTGAAGGTTTCTTCTACTTGTTTCAGCTCGAAGCCTGCTGGTAATGATGTCATCGGTATTGATCTGGGTACAACCAATTCCTGTGTTGCAGTCATGGAGGGAAAGGTGAGATTGTGTGATCATATTGTTTCTTGGTATGTGAGATCTCAATGTTTTTGAGCTTAACTTTGTGTGTTCTGATCTGATTTTGTAGAATCCGAAAGTCATTGAGAACGCTGAAGGTGCTCGAACCACACCATCAGTTGTTGCATTCAACCAGAAAGGAGAGCTTCTTGTTGGTACACCAGCCAAAAGACAAGCGGTCACTAACCCAACAAACACAATATTCGGAACAAAACGTATGATTGGGAGGAAATTCGATGATCCACAAACACAAAAAGAAATGAAGATGGTGCCTTACAAGATTGTCCGTGCACCTAATGGCGATGCGTGGGTTGAAGCCAATGGTCAGCAGTATTCTCCGAGTCAGGTTGGAGCATTTGTCTTGACAAAGATGAAAGAGACAGCTGAAGCTTACCTAGGAAAATCAGTCAAGAAAGCTGTTGTCACTGTTCCTGCTTACTTCAACGATGCTCAGAGGCAAGCAACAAAAGATGCTGGTAGAATTGCTGGTCTTGACGTAGAGAGAATTATAAACGAACCGACTGCTGCTGCTCTTTCCTATGGAATGACCAACAAGGAGGGTTTGATTGCTGTGTTTGATCTTGGTGGTGGGACGTTTGATATATCTGTTTTGGAGATTTCTAACGGGGTTTTCGAGGTATTTATCTCCCAAATGATTTGTGCTTTTCAAGTCTTCTGTTGCCTTTTGTTTGAGCATCTCTTTAATACCTGAAATTTCTTTTTCAGGTGAAAGCCACCAATGGCGATACCTTCTTGGGAGGAGAGGATTTCGATAATGCTCTCCTAGACTTCTTGGTAAATGAATTCAAGACCACTGAGGGAATCGACCTCGCCAAAGACAGACTTGCTCTACAGAGGCTTCGAGAAGCCGCTGAGAAAGCGAAGATTGAACTATCATCGACTTCTCAAACTGAAATTAATCTGCCATTTATCACAGCTGATGCATCAGGGGCAAAACATTTCAACATCACCTTAACAAGGTCAAAGTTTGAAACCCTGGTGAATCACTTGATTGAGAGGACACGCGATCCATGCAAGAACTGTCTCAAAGATGCTGGTATAAGTGCTAAGGAAGTTGATGAGGTTCTTCTAGTTGGAGGAATGACTCGTGTCCCCAAGGTACAATCTGTTGTCTCGGAGATATTTGGAAAGACTCCTAGCAAAGGTGTCAATCCTGATGAGGCTGTTGCCATGGGAGCTGCACTTCAAGGTGGTATCCTTCGTGGTGATGTCAAAGAATTGCTGCTTCTAGATGTCACACCTCTGTCGCTCGGTATTGAAACACTTGGTGGTGTCTTTACAAGACTGATTAGCCGAAACACAACCATCCCCACAAAGAAGAGTCAGGTATGCATGTAAAGTTTTGATATTTTGATTGAAAATAGTGACTAGGAAACAGGAATTCTGGTTATCAGATAAGAGTAGGGCAAACTAAGGTAGTATGAGACGCCTATGAGAGTTTGATCTGTATTATCTTAGCAAGATATGTTCGAATTACTCCTCATGGCAATGATTTACACGTTCAATTCTTATAAGTTAAAGGTCAAAGCACAGTCCTGTGATATGCTCTAATTGATGATCCATCATAACCCAAAGTTGCCATTGTTTGGTCAAGTTTTTACATGTTGATTCTCTTGTTTCTTTCCTTTGAAGGTGTTCTCAACTGCAGCCGACAATCAGACACAAGTTGGGATCAGAGTGCTTCAAGGTGAGCGTGAAATGGCAACAGACAACAAGCTCTTGGGAGAATTCGATCTAGTGGGCATTCCACCATCTCCAAGAGGAATCCCGCAGATTGAAGTAACATTTGACATCGATGCCAATGGCATTGTCACTGTTTCCGCCAAGGACAAGACGACTGGTAAAGAACAACAGATCACAATCCGATCCTCTGGTGGGCTCTCAGAGGATGATATCCAGAAGATGGTTAGAGAAGCAGAGTTGCATGCACAGAAAGACAAAGAAAGAAAAGACTTGATCGACACCAAGAACACAGCCGACACAACCATCTACAGCATAGAGAAGAGTCTTGCCGAGTACAGAGAGAAGATCCCGAGTGAAGTCGCCAAGGAGATCGAAGATGCTATAGCGGATCTAAGGACGGCTTCGTCTGGAGATGACCTCAACGAGATCAAGGCCAAGATCGACGCGGCAAACAAAGCTGTTTCAAAGATTGGAGAACACATGTCTGGTGGTGGTTCTGGTGGCGGTGCTGCACCAGGAGGAGGATCATCTCAGGGAGGCAGTGATCAAGCTCCAGAAGCAGAGTACGAGGAAGTGAAGAAGTGAAGAGTTTGCGTAAATTCTTGTCACTTGGGTTATTATGAGATTAGGTTTAGATCATGGTTTGGTTCTCTTTCCAAGGAACTTTTGCCTTAAAGAACAACGATCAATGGATCTGTTTCTGGAATAAGCTTTTGTAGTGAACGAAACTTCTTTAATGTTTCACTGATAAAAACTTCTGTTATGTGATTGTGATGGTTTCAAAGAATTTAAATCGAATTCACTTTTGAGAAAAGTCTACACAAGAAGGTAGAACGAGAGAGTACTCGCTAAACGAGCCAGAGGATTTCGATTATCTATAGGCTCGTTGTGAAACGTGCGGATAACTTAGGGGGAGTTTGTAAATTACGAAATTACCCTCCGCTTATTTTACTTCTAGTTTAGGGTTGATTTAATCGAGAGATCCCATTTCATTTGTTGGGAATTCTCGCAAGGAAGAGAAGAAGCTTAGAGATACACAGTGATCTGATTCAGTATATGGCTGCCACGGCTATTCTCCGATCGATTCGCCGACGCGACGTCGTCTCTGCGCCTCTTTCCGTCTACAAATCTGTAGGTTTTTCTTACTCGTTGATTGCGTATTTTTGGTGAAGTAGTTGATAGATCGATAAAAATTGGGATTCGTTTGGTTTCGTCTTTTCTTCTTCTTCAAGATTATCAATCATCTCTGTTATGCTTCGTTTCTGGGGAAGGTAGTCAGGGAATGAATCGGATTATGTTCACTGTTATGCGTTTGATCGTTCTATATACCGAAATTGAGGCGATGAGATTATGTTTTACCCCCTTGTGGAACAGAAATGAAGCTTTTTCGGGATAATCTTAAGAGTGTTATCATTTTCTCAAACTCGTGTTTCTGGTTTAATTGAGAAAAGCTTGCAAGTTGAACATGCTGCACAAATATTGGGATGAAGAAGTAGAGTGTGTTTAAGCTTCTTATTATTGCTGTGATTTGGGTGCCTAACAATTACCATCAGAAAATAGCGTCGTCTTTTGGCTTGGTTATTGCATATGCGTAGAGAATGTGTTTTTTCTTAACTGCGTTGAATCATTCTTGCAGCTTGCTGGTAATGCTCAACCGTCATTGGGTGGTTCCTACATTGGTCAAAACTATGCGAGTTTGTTTAGAGCTTTCGGGTAGGTTTCCTTTCTTTCTTGTAATGAAAATACAGTAGTGAGCCATATGGACTATAAGCTTTTTCCTTGAATTGCTTCCCTTCAATTCATGAAGCAGAACGGCTGCGCCAACTTGTGGTCTTATCGTCTTTCAGTTTCTGTCCGACTTTTGTTCACTCACTATGTAGATATATTTTGATTATGTGTTCTTTTCTTTATAGGTCGAAACCTGTTGTGAATGACATTCTCGGTACTGGTTTGGGTACTACCAACACAAGTGATGCCACTAGAGAGGAGAGAGAGGTATGATAACTTTGTTCACATTTGGTTGGTCTCTTTTTCCTTTGTAATGCATAAAGAGCAGCTTAATTTATTATGATTGTGCCTGATGATCCTTGTCTCGATTCTTCTAGCGTTCAAAAGCCGTTGCTCAATCTTTCCGAGCTCTTGGTGTGGGAACAACGAAACACATGTTCTCTACAATCTCAGGGGATATAAAGACAGCACAGGAGGAGCCGAAAACGAAAAGCTTTCGCCCTTTATCTCCTCACCTTCCGGTTTATCAGCCTCAGATGAACTCCATGTTGTCGATTTTCAACAGAATCTCAGGGGTTTACTTGACCGGAGTCTTTTTCACCGGATATCTTCTCTACCTGAAAATGGGTATGATCTGCCTCACTTACCCGGGTTTCTACCAAGTTCTTTTCCATGTACAGCAGCAACTTCCGGTCATCACCTCGGTTACTGCTTTAGCCGCGCTTTACCATACGATCAAGAGTATTCACTCGCTCTTGACCCATTAAAAACCTTTTTCTGAAAGCTTCTTTCGATGAAGAATGTTTGGTTTAAGTCGTCAAAATCTCCAGTAATAGTTTCTTTGAGACGAACAAGGTTAATAAAAGAGAGAAGAAACAATTGTCAAAACTCTCATGTCTTTGAGAAGGTAAAATCTAATTTTTTTGTTTTTGGGATTTTAGGCTTTTTAAAGCTATATGTTTGTTTGCTTTTCTTTGTTCTCAGACCTTTTTTATGATGATAAATGTTTACAAATATTCTCTGCTGCTACATTTAAGCTCTGCTGTTACAAGTTTTTTCATGAAATTGGTTAAGGTAAATTAAATTTTATTTGAAAGTTCGTTATAATTTTCTTAATTAACTACATTTTGATTTTGTTTTTTTTCTCCAATAACT